CTTTTCTCCATTGTGTGTTTTTGGCTCCCAAAAGGAGCCTCTAAGTACAAGGAAATTAGTTTAGAATTTTTTTTGAGAAATCTGATCATATTCTAGTTTATCTTTTTAGTGAGTCCAGATTTTTCATGTATTATGATACTGAGATATGCAATTTAATTTTGTTCATATCATTGCAATATAAAATTTCTGTTAATCCAGAACAAATAGGTGAATCAAGTAATTTTCTCTTAAGTTAAAATAACTTATTTAAAAATTTAGATGACTTATAGTTATCTTCTAATGACTTATAGTTAACCTTTTTTTTTAACTTTGGTCGGTAATTTGAATTTCTACAGATGTCAAAATATTATATAAGTGTAGTTCTTAAAAATGCTGAAAAGTTAAAAAATAAAATTATGAGTACATTCAAAACATTATTCTTATGAAAGCTTAATGCATTATAATTTGGGAGTGTAAAATTAAAACCAGTTTTAAATAAGAAATTGGCTTTAAAATTGTACTTTGACTTTCTGTGATATTATGAATAAGTATTATTCAAATAAATTTCAAATTCAAATAGTTTAACCTTTATAGTAATTAGTGAGATATTTTATTTATACATTTTGTTAACATATATTAGCATATTTCTGTCCTAAAACCTGATTATAATGCTATCTTAAGGGGGGGAATTTCAGAGAAATTTTGTTACAGCTTCCACATTTTCCCCCCTTTGGCTTTAAGTACTTTAAGATCCATGAGATTCCCATTGATTTTATTAGCAACTTTAGAAAATCATGTCTTTGAAAAACCACTTTTTCAAACGATTGAATATAAATAAATGAACTATTAGTAATGAGTATACTGTAAAAACTTTATTAGTGGTAATAAAGTAGGGAAGTAATATATTCAGAATTTTAAAAAGACTTCTTGCTTCCCTGAAAGACTTATTTATATCTAATTGCACATAATTTATGTAATAATTTATTTCTCAGAAAGTTATGATATGTAGAATTTACAAAAATGCTTCTTCATAGTAAGATAAATTTTCATTTTCAGAAAACCCTTATTTTCTATTGTAACTTACTCTTTCTAAATGAATATGTATTCGACAAGTTTAAGCTTACTTTATAGGGTCTTTGGAAGTTGATAAAATTAATTGTTAATTATTATTTGTGATTAGCTATTTTGTGATTTACAGGCCATTTATTTCTTTTGTAGTTTTCATGTTTTGACATATGTTCTAATTTTAAAAGAATCAAAGGCAATAGAAATTGAAACCAAAATTACTATCCTTCTGTTGCTACTATTTGCTATTCAAATTAAATCTATTCAATAAATAAATCTATTGAATAATTGAAATGATGTTTGAATCATGGTTAATTTTTACTTTAAAATCATTTAATGGCTATGCTAGAATTAGTTCACCAGTGAGAAAAATATGATTAGCAAGGTGTTGAAATAAGGAAATATGTGAAAAAGTTTAAAATGAGCTCTGTGATGAGAGAGATGGCTTTAAAATTATACTTTGACATCCTCTTCCAGACCAGGTTAGTGATGTATTATGTCATTCATAAAAAACTTGTTTTGCTTGCATGTTGTGAGTTGGTGGTGTTGGCCCTTTTAATTAAGGGCAATAATTCATGATAAAATGAGATTTTTTGTTGATCATCTGATGCAGAAGGAGTGAGAATTCATTGGTTAAGAACCACTAACCTGTCCTCTCACCCCTAGGGTGTGAGCACTGAAAAGGATTAAGGCCCACTGTAGGGAAGCTTGCACTGAAGCCTGCACTGCCCTTTCCTCTGTTCTTTCAATTAAATAGAAGATTTTTAGTTCCCATGACTATCAATCTGGTGCTTTTCACAAGCACCAAATTCTTTTTAAGAAATTAAGATAACTTATTTTTAGAAATCACTGGCCTAGAATACCGAGAAAAAAAATTTTTTTTTATATGTCATGTTGGCAGACTCTAAACATAGTATTTTTTTTCTAATGAATATTAGTTTGTTTTAATTTATGTTGAATTTAGTGGTTGATAAAATTTTTAAAAATCAAGGACAGGGTTTATATGCTTAGGTTTGCTTACTTAATAGTAATTATAGAGTTTGGCAGTGTTGAATCATACATTTTATTAGAAATAATATCTGGCAACCATGTGGACAGAATACTGCAATTATAAGGTGCTTTTTTTTCATGCTTAAAGGCCTTTAAATAACTCTTATAAATGCTGAAGTATCATATATATATTTAGTATTTGCCAAATTGGTATTGTGTTTAATCTTGAAAATATATTTTGATTTTGTTAATTAAAAATAATTGCAGAATATTTAACATTCTCAATAGTTAGTGGTTTTTTTTTTTTCATTTAATTCGAGCTTTTGTTGTTACTAACAAATAATTTGTGGCACAGTTTCTTTCTTTCTTTTTTTCTTTCTTTTTCTTTTTCATTTTCTTTTTCTTTTTCTGATAGAATCTATATCCTTGTCACCTTAGTGTGCTAGAAATGTTCCACTCCTATCAAGGGTTTCTTTCTGGTTTTGTATGTTCTCACCTGCTCCTCACTGTAAATCATGGAAATGTCAAGTGTAATGATTAATTAAGCTGCATGTGCAAGTACTTTTTTTTTCACCTGTCAAGCAGGAAAGAGGTCTTACAGCAAGATTAGATGGTGCTAATTCACAGCTTTTACTTTATACTGTCAAGTGTGTAGAAATATTTAATATTTAGATGCCTATCCAGAATATGCCATAGCAGGGTTTGTTTGGTTTAGAATTCTTAAATATTGTAAGATGCAATTATTATACCAAACCTATTATTAAATCATTAAACTAATTAGAGGCAAAGAGTGTATTCAGAATTCCTGTGTAAATATTTTGGAATGTAGGATTCATACTTTATACTTACCTTTTATTCAGATGCTGCTAGTTGATTTAAATTACTTAAAGTAAATATTTAAAAAGTTTTAAATTGTGTATGTGTGTATATGTGTATGATAATATACATTATGAAATTCATTCACAGTGAGGTTCTTTCTCATTATAATATATCATGGGTTTAAATTTATGATGAAAAGATGATAGTGGGAACTATACATTTTTTCTTTGAGTAGTGAAGTTTTGCAGAATGTAATTTTAAGCTTTTAATTTTTATACTTTAATATTAAACAAGACTTGGAAATCTTGTTCTTCCCACCCTAGTTCTTTCACCCCCAGCCCCCAATTCTTAAACCATCATTAAAAGGAAAACCTCAAATTGTATAGTAATCTTAATCTATTATTAAAAGGTCCTAGAAAGGAAGATTACAAGGTAGATTCAGGTTTTGAATCGGTTTTGCCATTGGTTTAGCAGCGGGTGGGCAGGCAGATGCCTGCTCAGAGTAGAACCTATTGCCATTTTTCACCATTGATAGAGTAGCCTTTCAGAGTCAATGAGCTCTGTCAATGTGAGCTTGTCAAGGCTACAACTTCATAGACCTGAGAGGCGGTTTGAGAGGTCAGCCCTTTTCAGGTTTGCTGTGATGCAAATGAACTTTAATGCTTAAACAACTATTGGAATTTTTATGTCTGCTCCTTGTTCTTTTTTCTTCACAAAGTCATTGACGAGACATTCAGTGCTTTTTAAATTGGAAGTTGCATTGTGCTAAAGACCTAGTACAGATTTACGGAGGGCTGAAAGCAGTTAGATCATGTTCTTTTCATGGTGCGATTAGAATCAAATCGATTTCCCTACAGCCTTCAGCATTCAGATGGCAATTTTAACAAAGCTTAGGGGCTAGACAAGGGACAAAACGACTGAACTGAATGTTAATTACACTCTGCAGCCTTATTTTCTTTTGATTTGGGGCTGACTGGCAACTAAATTAACAAAAAGTGTGACCATAACTGCTGCCCTATTTTCATTTAAAAGGAGAGCTGCCTCTAAAAGGCTATCTTTACAAAGAAACAAGTGAGGTCTGCTGATCATTGTTAGCAAGGGCACTATTTTCCCTTTAAAATTCTTGCCCCCCAAAAGTGTTAAAAAGAATAATGTAATAAATTGGTCATTGTATTATTATTCAAAGAGTTAGTTGGTTTTCTGATTTTTATGTCATATACTTGGAAAATGTAAGCCGGTAGTGATAATTCACTGATAGTTATGAAATATAATTGGCACCTTGTGCCTGTGGTGTGTCTTTAGCATGTTCAACATGCTGTAAGGTAATATGGTAAGTAGTTAATAGTAGATACTATTTTCTTATGTAACATTTGACTATTGAAAACCAGCTTGATCCTACAGTTTCCCACCTACCTCATCCTTGCTTGATATGCAATTTTTCACAATTTGATTACTAGTACTTATTTAGTTGTGCCACATTAATAGTGTTAGATGCCTCTTTCCTTCTCTTGTGAGGAAGCTGTAGCTGTACCAAGTTGCATTTGATTCTTGTGGCAACTCTGTCCTTTTTGCACCTGCAGCTGTGTCAGTCTCATCCTAACACCTGGCACCATGAATTATCCTTTCCTTTATTCTAACTCCCAAGCAAGAAACATGTCATGCTGCATACATATTGCAAAAATTAAGTAATCTTAAACATAAATTTCGCAGTTAATTTCTTTAACAGTAGTGTTAAGAGTTTGATTTTGTTATTCTTGTTGATTTAAATACAGTTTTGCTCCTGTTTTAATACCTAATACTTACATACTATTTTAGTATTGCAAATCTATTTTTGAACTAAATGGGAATTTAAATTTATATCATTTGGTAGATAACTAGCTTTTTAGACTTTGATAGCTTTAAATCAGAGGTTAGTAAGTTTGAAACAGAGCAAAAAAAGGAATCAATGCTAAAAACAAAACAAAGCCTATTTTTATTATAATACTATTTGTATTTATATTACTATTTAATGCTAGACTGTTGATAGTGTTATAGGCCACCCTATATTCAGTCACTGTCTTATACCTCTCTTCTCACACAAAAAGCAGCTGCAAAACAGTTTTTCTAAAACCAGTCAAGAGTAAACTTTTTTCTCATTTGTCTTCCAGACACGAAGATCGATTGAGAAGTTATTAGAATGGGAAAACAATAGGTTATACCACAAGGTGAGTACCACAGGGAGCAGCTTCGTACTGTTGGGGTCTGAATTGCACAGTATGGAAACAGATGCTTTTGTTGAACTAAAAATATGAAAGGTGGACAAATGGGTTAGTCTGTTTGCTGCAATAAACTAGAGCTCATTTTTCTTCTTTTACTCTCCTTGTCTAGCTGTGCTTGCACTGGAGACTGAGCAAAAGGAAATGTGAAACGAATAACATGATGGAATATGTAAGTTAAAGGGCTGTTTTGTGAGTTTCTCTATTAAATGATCATTTATTTTGCTTCTGATCTTATTCTTTCCATGATTATTAATCAGCAAAGGTGTCAGGAGCTTAATCTCCTGAGTGCAAGGATTTTCTACGGTTCACAGATGCATGGTTTCATGTGCAAGACTGATTTATAAAGTTATGAATGACTTGAAAACAAGGCTTCACTGTGTTCTGAAAAATAATAAATTAATTGCCAAGATAAAATGGCCTGAACATGTGTTGATGGAGTGTGAAATTTTAGGTGCTGTATAAAGAATAACCACAACTTTGGTTACGCAGCAAGTCAGATATGGCTTTTTTATATAATGCTAATCAAGTTTCCAAGTGTGGAAGAAAACCTTTCAGCCAAGCCATTGGAGCTTAAGAAACCTTTAGCCTTTATAAATTTTAACTACCCATACCTCAGTGGCCTTTAAAGGATTTTTTAAAGTGTTATTACAATATTGTTTTATAAAAATTGTCCTTAAAGTATGTAGGGATGGGATTTTGCCTGACCTTTATTTATTCTTTAAAAGATAATCCAAGTTGGCACATGTATATAATGAATTTAAGAACTTAGTCAGTATGATATTTAATCTACCAACTCTTTAATTTACTTGAACAATTTCTCTCCTTTTGAAAAATTCAGAATTACGAATATTTACTTTGCTTTGAGCTTGAGTATTTTATTATAAATATGAAAAGTTATTATATTACTTAAAAAACATCTAAGGAAGAATTGTTGAAATTAAAGTTATAGTCTTTGTGAAGTGCCTAGCTCATCATTTCTGACGAATTCTATTTGATACAGTTAAGTTATCAGAGATTTTGTGTGTGTGTGTGTATAAAAGATTGATTAAAACAGTACTTAAATAGTTGGTAATTGTCATAAAATCATTTTGATCTATAGTATTTACCCTTTCTTTTATTATCATACAGTCAAATCCCATTTCTAGCCTTGAACATAAAAGATGTCTTAAAATATATTTTTTTCATAGAATAGGTCTATATTCAGTGAACCAAATTTAAAATTTATCATTATCTTTTATATAAAATCTGTTACTTTATACTGATGAGAAAGATACTTGATACTTTATAACAATAAAACATTCAAATAACTGTTTTTAGATTGACTTATGAAAATGCTAGTCTTGTATTTTTATCAGAGACAGTTTATGTGTTTTGGTGGGAGGGATGGATATGTAAGAAATTTAAAGCACTTTGTGGGGGGAGGGAGAAAGCTCTATTTATAAACTCAACCACAGATTAAAAAACTGAGGCTTTTAAAATTTATTTTTGCACATTTCTAAATTTATATTGGAAAGAAAAACAAAAGTTATTTCCAATGCAATTATTTCCAGATAGAACTATAGGAATGTTATTCATTCATAAAATATATTTCTTATATTCATCTTTGTTTTATATTTTTGAACTAAAATAAAATCTAATCTTTCAAAACATCATGAGCTGTGTGCTTTGTTTGTAAAATAATTTCCTTTAATTTTTAATGAGTTTTTAGATAATTAAACTCTAGTATTAAAACCATTGTATTTTCCATACCATCATAGAAGATAAAGAGTAATAAAATTGTTAAAAAATTATATTTTTTTCTAAACATTTCAATGTATTTATATTTGTGGTAGTTGAATGGGAGAATAGTATAATTGCAAAAACTTTCTAACAAATAATTTTTAAAACTTAAGATAACAATCTAGTAAGGAGAGAGGGCTTCTTATCTAATGAATTGGGTATTCTTATCATGTATTTTTCTTTGATTGAACTTTTCTTAAACTTACAAATATTTCACTTGTTAAAGGAAATATTTCTCGATTATATTTTGAATATTGGGGATAATCTAGAAAAATACCAACTTGATACCAATTTTTCTTTTATTCTGATGTGGTAGAGCAGTATGATTTAGAAGGAATGCAACAAAGTGGCCAATTTCTGTACATTATATTCTTTAAAAAGTAATAATGCAATTATGGCCAAAGATAGCATTTATTTCCATTCTGTCATATACACTGTAAAATGTAATGCCTACATTCAGGAGCTGAAACTGTGTAGACTGCTTGATTGAGGACACATTTGAAATATAGAAGTATTTATTGAATATTGACTTATAAGTAGTTTAAACATTTAATCATCAATTTTTAGAGACAGTTTCTGAAAAAGAAAATAAGTTCACTAAACTTGGAAATATTCAAATCAAATAATTTTTTTGTTAGCATGTATTCTATACCATAGTTGCAAAGGGAAATAATCGATTGGAATTTAAGACAGTTCAAGTTTGGAATACAAATTAGTTCTAGTTTTTCTGTGTTAATGTGTTCTCTCTTTGTTGATTTTCCTTTAGTTTTTTTTTTTTTTTTTTTTAAATATATATTTATTGCTTTCAGAAAGGAAGGGTGAGAGAGATAGAAACATCAATGATGAGAGAGAAAAATTGTGCCTCCTCCACAACCCCTCCTGGGGATCAAGGCATGTGCCCTTGACTGGAATCGAACCTGGGACCTTAAGTCTGCAGGCCGACTCTCTATCCACTGAGCCACACCGGCTAGGGTTCCTTATGTTTTTTGTTTGTTTATTTGTTTTTTTGTAAAAGATCCTTTGGAACAAATCTCAACTTTTAATTTTGTTAAGAAGAAAAGGACTTTTAAAAAGTTACGAGAAAAGGGATCAATACCCTTTATATAGAGATCACATATCTTGCTACAGTAAAATGAGAGCAACCTTAGAACCCAAGGACCCATACAATTGAGTTAGTTGAAGGGTGGAAACTGCAGCCACAGAGTATAGTAGAAAAAGGCAAAACTTTGCAGTTAAGAATGACCTTTGTTCAAATAGTGACTTAATATCTATAGTGTTACCCTTCTCAGATTATCAGTTTCCTCATCTGTGAAATGAGGATGATGTTTGCCTCATAAGAAAAGTTGTTGGGATTAAATAAATCCAGATAGTATGAAACACTTATAATTATTCTTAGTAAGTGCTAGTTCTGTTTTCTCCTTTATTCATGCATGTATTCTGTGTGTCAGAGGCACTATCCAAATTGTTTTAAATATTGGAATGTAACTAAAGTTTTATTAAGATGAAAATCTATTTAAATAGCTTAAAAACTTTTTCTTTTCTCCTTCTACAGGTCATCCTCATAGAATTTTTACCAAAGACACCAATTTTTCGACCAGATTAGCATTTACTTTATTTATAGAGACTTTCCAAGTATGTTGTCTTTCCAATGGTGCCTTGCTTGGTGCTTTTCTGGTGGTGACATAACATTGGTTCTACAGAATCGTGTGGTGTTTTTTTTCTGTTTTTTTTTTTTTTTTTTTTTTAAATAACCGCATGTTCTAAGTGTGCATTTTTGTCCAACTTTGCAACAGTTATTTCATACAGATGTTTAATACTTAAGTTATTGTGCTCTTTTCTGTTATGTATTCTGATTTTCAAGGTTACTTTTTTGTATTATCAAAAAAAAAATACATTTGAACTTAGCATAAAAAATGGCCAGCCCTTTTTATTTTATCACCAAGATATACACAGTCTTTTATTTATTAATTCCTTAATGTAGAGAAACACTTTTGTAAGACTCTACTCATCATTTATAGCAAGCACACTCTTCGTATTATTTTTCACCCCTTTTAAATTTAATATAGTTATTCTTTTAAAATAGTAAGTTTTCTTTAATAGCTTTTTGGAATTTAACATATCCTTTCTCATACAATTCCTAATGCTCTGTTTACAGCGGAAATATCTGTAACATTATGAAGACCTATAAAAAAGTTTTGAAAGGATTTCTGGTTTCAAAGGTAGCAAGGCAGAATTAAATTATTTTTTATTAGAATAGACAAATCAGTGAATGGTATGCATGCATCTAATGGTTACTAGAGCTCAGGATCATAAAAATTTAATATCATTACAATCTGTGTATATTTTTTGTCAAAATGATAATGCCTTATTTGGGTTATTTTTTATTGTTTATCAAATCTTATATACAAAAGTATGGAAATACTCCTTTAAAAAGTTTCTAAGGAAAATATTTCTCCTAATCCAACACAGTTGTAGAATGGATATATGTTTCTAAAAAGTTTTGAAAGAAAGTAAAAATTTTAGAATTGAAAATAAACTGGTGTTTAATACCCCATTGATATTTAGAACAGACTATTACTAAAAAATGAAAAGCATATTTAGTACTGTTTTTATCTACTAGTTTGCTTTTGGTCCAGTTATGTGTATTTTTTTTATTTTTTATTTTTTTATTGAGAAGGTGACATTTAAGTTTAAATCAGATGAGCTTGTTTCTTTTACATATATCAAACATACATTTTCCCCCCTCTTTTTGGTTGTACATATGTCCATGCATTTTAAAGCTTTCTGAATGGCCTATATGTAAATTTTTGTTTTTATAAACCTGAAATTAAACAAATTTTGATGTGTGTCAAGAACTTGTTCCATACAGCTGTGGTATCGAGCAATAATGTGAATAACTTTTGAAATTATATAAACTGTGCTTAATAATTTGTATTAAGAATTGGTACCACTATACCTTTTTTCCTTGTATTAAATTTTTTAAATACCAGTTTCATTAATTTATATACCTGTATTTTTTAAAAAATATTTCTTTGTACTTCTCCAAAGTACTGTAATTCTGTATGAATTTGAATAGTTGGATGTCAGTATTATATATCCTATATCGGACATTAGGAACTATTTTAAAAACTAGGATTTTTTTTTTTTTTTGTATCAGAATTATTTCTTTCCCCTGCCCCCTACCATACTTAACAACTTAAACTTATAAAACATTTTTCTTCTGACGAGGTCTAAGTAGAAAGAATCTAAACACTTCTCACTTCATTTACCTTATGTCTAGGGTGACACCTTAAAGTAGTGCAATTAAAAGGTAATGCTGTTCAAAACCTCTAGTATTCCTCTGGTTTCAGTATGGAAAATGGTATGGGGAATGCTAAATCTGCCTCAGTATTCAACAGGAGCAGAAAAATATGATTACAGACTATGCAACATAGGTTCTATATCTAAAATTTTATAAATTTGTAGAACAGCATATTGATTAGCTTTTATAAGAATTATATCTTTTGAGACATAATTTTTTTCTCCTGTTACTAGTCTATCAGTTATGAAATTATCTTACTATTAAATATTCTTAAAGGAATAAAATAAAAATTATTCCTTTAAGAATATTTAATAGTAAGATAATTTCATAGTTGATAGTATTAAGTATAAGATTTTTAAAAGCCTTAATTTTATTAAACACTGTAGGCCCCATGCACAGATTCATGCACCAGTGGGGTCCCTCAGTCTGGCCTGCACCCTCTCACAATCTGGGACCCCTCAGGATGTCAGAATGCTGGTTTCAGCTTGATCCCCACAGTCCAGGCCAAAGGACTCACCAGTGCACAAATCTGCACTTGTGGGCCACTAGTCTATATATAAAAGCCAAAGCAACCAAACGACCAGTCCACCCCTCGCTATGACATGCGCTGACTACCAGGGGGCAGGTGTTCACAGGAGCTGCCCCCTGGTGGTCAGTGTGCTCCCACAGTGGGAGCGCTGCTCAGCAAGCTTACTGAGCAGTGGCCGGTGCAGGCACAGTGGTGCTGGGATGAGCAGAGCAGTGCAGGCTTCTCCCAGGCCACCTGCTGCTTCACACACTACTGCATCCCTCGGGATGTCAGATGGACAGTTTTGGCCCTATCCCTGAGGGATCCCAGATTGCAAGAGGTTGCAGGCCAGGTTGAGGGACCCCACCAGTGTATGAATCCATGCATCAGGCTTCTAGTCCTATATAATAAGGAGCTAATATGCTAATTAGACCACACAGCAGAATGACTGGACATCCTTCCAGACAACCTTCCAGATGAAGCCGGGGCTGCCAGGTCTGACCAAGGCTGTGAGGGCCTGTGAGGGCCAGCCAAGGCTGCGAGGGCCAACCGAGGCAGCCGGGGCCATGAGGGCTGAGCTCCTTGCACAGATTTTGTGTATTGGGCTTTTAGTCAAAAAAAAAAAAAAAAAAAAAAATATATATATATATATATATATATATGCCTAAGTGACCATTTGACCATTTCCTATAATGCTCACTGACCACCATGGGACAGATGCTCAACACACAGGCATGGAAGCATGGAACAAACTGATGAATCTCAGCAGGTAGGGGGGAGAGTTTTAAGAGATTAACCAAAGATCTTATATGCATATTAGAGGCCTGGTGCACAGGATTCCTGCACTGGTAGGGGGCATGGCCTATGGGGATCAGCCTGCTGTAGAGTGCCACCCATCTTGATCAGCCTAGCCAAGTGGTTATGACCTGCCCTATGAGAAGCTGCTCCCTGGTCTGGCATCTTCTGTGGAGCTGGAGCACTCGCTTCTCCAGGAGATCCTGTCAGGGCCGGGCCCAGGGACAATAGCACTGAGAGGCGGCGGAGTAGGCCTCAGTCTGGCAGCAGCCATGAACCTGCCTCCCACCTCTGGGGTCAGCTCTCTGCGTGGCCTGCAAGCATCTGAAGGAGGCAGTAGGGAGAGAGGAGGAAGAGGAGGAGGAGGAGGAGCAGCCTGGGGCAAGGAGACTATGATCACAGCATGGATTCCTGCCTGTCAGCTCAGGGTTTGCAGTAGGAACAGCCACTCATTTCAGTCAAGTGGTGCTCCCATTGTGGATAGCGCACTGACCACCAGGGGGCAACTCCTGTGTTGAGCGCCTGTACCCTGGTGGTCAGTGTGCATCATAGCAACTGGTTGACCAGTTGTTTGGTCACTTCGGCTTTTGTATATAGGCAGTCCTTGGTTACGTCAGACTCAATGTTATGTTGTTTTGTGGTTATGTCGCCATCTTCCATTATAAAAAAAAAAGTTCTGTCACTTTGATGTATGTACATATGTGCTTTATGTTTATTATTTATTTACCACAAGTAAAGGTCAGGAATTGCTATCTTTTAAATTTTTTTTACTGTTTAACTTCATTACTGCTGTGTATGTGCTCCATGTGAGTGGGTTCTAACTTATGGCGAAAATCGTGTTATGTTGCGCCATAGGAACAGATCTCTGATGTAACCTGAGGACCATAACTAGTAGCTTGGTGCACGAAATTTGTGCACATTTAAAGGGGAATTAATGAAAGGAAATATTTTAATACTGCTATTTGCCCATTCTCTATAATAGAATTGTCAGATGAAAGAAAATTAGTAAAATGTATATTTTAGAAAATCTCATTTCTGTCAGAGTCTGGGGCATACCACAGGACCCACTGTCAAGTCCCTGCCCACTTGCATGCGCCTCAAAATCATGTGAGACCCAGACCCAGCTGGCTCCATTCCTGTCAAGTCCCGCTGGGCGGGGCACGCAGCCTGAGATCTCCCATCAAGCCCCACCGGGTCACCCAGTGCCGTGGGTGCGGCCTCATGACCCCCTGGCCCAGCCTCAGGTCTTTCAGCTCCAACACCGGGGTGGAGGGCACGGCCTCAGGTCCCCTGGCAAGGGCATGAGGGCATGACAATCATTTGCATATTAGCTCTTTATTATATAGGATTTCCTAGAAATGTGCACTCTTATAATTTCTAATGTATAGAAAAAAAACAACAACCCTGAATGATTAATATGTGATTTTACCATAAGTCAGTTATGCCTTGAGCTTGAGCATCTGGGCTAGTAGCCTCCAGTATAACTCCTTTGGCCTATCCTTTCTTGATTCATGAATATAAGTACCCATGTTATTGGAAATTATAAATATTTAAAATGATGATTGTTCTTCTGTTCATATTTTCTGACTTAAAGTTTGTGAAGCATGAATCTTAGATACTTTTAAAACTGACCAAGGAAAAATATTGGCAGAAAACCTAATTATAGATTTTACATAGGCTAAATGAATGACTTAGGATCTTTGTTTATTGGCATTTTACTGGCATTTTACCATTAGTCACCATTCCTAGGTAGAAACATTCTTTTATCAAATAATGTATTTAGCAAACTCTATTCAACTTAATACATGAATTACACTGAGTGGCCAGATTATTATGATCTCTGAAAGCATAATAACCTGGCCACGCAGTGTATATCCTATATAATAAAAGGGTAATATGCTAATTGTCGCCTTGACCAGCAGTTTGACCAGCAGGCAGGCCAGCCAACTGCCCATGTCCCCTCCCCCTGACCAGGCTGGCCAGATCCCACCCATGCATG